GAGACGTTGAATTATGTACATTATTACCCAACTAAAACAGGCAGAGAAGCTTGCGAATCAAACGGTAAAGCTAAATGGACTTGCTAAAATGGAATACTGTTTCTGCATTAAACAGGCGCCTTAGACGTAGGAGGATAGCAATCGCCTGCAGAAAGAGATTAAGGATCCTTGGTCTCTAGATGGGAAGTTATGATATCCTTAATATATAGGGGGAAAACATTTTAAAGATAACAGACGGTGATTAGGCTAAGCCACTGAAAATGGACATTCAACACAGCCCGGTTCACCTCCATCAGTCCTGCAGAAATTATTCGGACCAAGACGACTGTGGATGCCTTGCTTATGCACTTCATTAAACGATGTCTGTAATGATTCCGGTGCACTTGCCGATGCTTGCAGGCATTTTGGGAGAACACGAAGGCATCTGGCAGCCAGGTTGTTTGAACACTTGCCAAGCTAGCTTTTAAAGTTAGATATAGGAGTCGTCAGCTTCTCCGCCACGAAACACCTGCTAGATAGGGGACACCCTTATGAAGCCAACATTAGCCTCCACAGTGTTTGTGCGCGAAGGAACAGTTTAGAGCTTGGGCCACATGGAAGCAATCTGCATGCGGAGAGGAAAACCTGACCAGTAACTCCCTGCTCTTCGAATTTACTCGCCAGTTTGTACGTAACCATCCGCCTTTTGTCTACGGCGTTTGGATGACCTTTCCCATCGACTCTGAATCATGACCCTGCTGCTTTCATAGCCATATCTGAGCAAATCGAGCCGCCGTCCATCGATGCTCATTTTTACACTGGGCAAGGAATGTGGCGTCTCCCAATACTCATTGTGAATGTCTCTGATGATAGATTCGAGTGAGATTCCGAAACGTCAGGCCAATAAATTTCTTGTTCCAGTGATCGCATCTTCCTCTTCTGAACCCATTGTTCTTTGCGTTTTTCACATATTTGTGCTTTATTTTGCGTTTGCTCAACTTAATTCCTTTAATGTCCAGTTTGTGTGGTGTTGCTTGAAAATTAAGGATTTTCGATTTGCATCTTACCTTGTCATTTTCTTTTATTGGGGCTTTTTACCACTTACTTATTAGTACAAATTTTACACACCTTTCCCTGTAGTCATTTATGTCCGTTAGTAGATGCCATCATCCTCGCGTTGAAGCCTGCGTATACTTTTGACTGAATTGTAATTGCTTCCGCCGTACACAAACGCACTTTTCGAATTCCTGACCGCAGATTCTTATTTTTCTTAATTTTGTTTTGCGGTGTGTCAATGAAGATAATATTTAGCCGTCGACACTGTTACTTTCAAATTTTCTTTGCAATGCCGGGTTCCCTCACTCACTTTGTGGCGATTGCCTAACATTCGTCATTGAACGCCTTAATGACTGTAGGCATACCATGTAGATTCTTCCTTCCACTTTGAACCTTTCGTAATCACTTGAGGAATCAGAGTAATTCGCCGCCAATTGTAGAGGTCTGCTATTACTATCTTGAGTGCCTAATGTTGTATAAAAGGATTTTTCATACTTGTTGTTTGAAGCGGTGTAAATTAGGCATATTTTTCTGAATTAAGTTGCCTGATCCAGAGTCACCTAGGAACGTTTCATGGGCGTATGTGCCTAACTTCACTTTTTTCTAGTATCTAAGCCCTGTGCAACGTGGACTTATGCAGGAAACACAATTTCCTGCGGTGGAAACTTCTTGGTTTTGGTAGTTTCATAACAAACTGTTAGCAAGCTGGGTAGAACTATTAAGCGTCTCATCAACTGATATTTGATTGACCAATAAGGTCGCTGCCAAAATATTTTGCAATAAAAAAACCGAAAAATGCTCATTGATACGACAATTGTGTATGTTTTAGCAAAGTACGCTACGGGTAAAGTGAGTTGATAACGGAACAGTAAATGAAATCCTAGATGGCAGAATGAAGCTGTTTACCACCTCGATGAATATATTGCCTACCAAGTTTTAGAAAATCCTAAATAGGGCTGAGAAGCAAAGGGCGTAAACTTAGAAGACTCGCTTAAACTACCGGAGACCTATTGCTAATTGTTTAAATGAAGCGTTGAGCAGCTGCTCGTCCTAGGTTGGTCTGTACGACCCCTCTCTCAGGTGGGGCACCCACCCATCATCGCGTATAATGAAATCCTAATGAGATGTGGCTTGGGTTTATCTAATGCCCAATCTTTACATAGCAATTAGAGCAAACATACTCTATTTAAAAATTCGGATTAGAATTCCTTGCTCCACATAATATTCCAATTACACAAGTTTCGTCAAAATCAGCGTCAAAGACCGCGATGACATGATGAAAAGTGTCGGCTCCCCGTAAACGATAGTATGTAAGCTAATTATTATTCCTATCTTCGCCGTTAATGCCCACTGTTATGTAAATACGCGAATGGTCTTCGTATCTGAACGACGGGCTATGGGGATCAAGCAACTTGTAAATTCAAATACCTTCGTGTCTTCGCTTGTATTCCAATTTTCGTAAGCACAGTCTGTCACCTATATGTATTAACCCTCGTTTTACCTTCATTGGAAACCATTAACAAATAATTGAGTGTTTGAAGTCTCGGAACAGTGCACGAAAAGATCGTTTGCATCCAAAAGTTTTGGTTATTCTTCGGCACAGAAATCGCAAATTTTTAGAGGCAGTATACCTTTCTACATAATTTATAACTCATTGAAGTAACCCTAATATTTGATCAAATAACCAAAACTTTAAGAGCAGTTGAAAATAGAGGAAGCATCCTAGGAAAAATTAAAAAATAATGATCAGCGTAATTCATGCGTTTACAGGACAGGTAATGGCTGCTCGTTAGCCACACATACGTACCAATTTTAAATCAAAATTTTCCTTAATGACGTATGCGTAAAGCCGAATTGGATGAAAACATTTAAGCAAGGTTGTGATCGATTTATGCAGAACATAATTCATCGCATCACTTAGACACTGATAAGATTTAACAACAAAGAAAGGCGTTTTTTGAGCTAGACCAATGACAGACTGTAATCCATTGATCAGTCGAAGGATGTGTTTCATGCTAGGCAGTTGCACCTGTGCAATCATGTGCTATTTGACAAACAATCCAAGAGATTTTTTTGTAACGTTTATACATTTTAGTGCCTACCCCGGTTAAGTTTGTGACGGAATTGATAGCTTTAAAATGCAAAGTCGTACGACTCCTCCAGCAATTAATATTTCCTGAAACCAAAAGTGACGGCCGAATGCATACCTAAGCCGGAAAACTAGCGGACGCTTAGATACATTTCAGCAATCGTAGTGAAAGGACTGTATATTGTTTAGACTCGCCTTTGTGCATCCGCTTGCCTTCGGTTCCAAATCAAAGGCACTTTTAAATCCCAGCTGAGCCAGTATAAGGCCCTCCTGCTCACCCGCACTGGAGTAAGAGAACTTCGCATCAGGGTACAGAAACAGGAGCTTCAAGTTTATGGCGAAGGCCGCCATATCGAGAGGAAATGCGCGAGTACGTCTGAAGAGGGCCCAGAATTCCACAATTTTGCTTCGGTCATCGCTGCTTGTTACACAGCCTTCCCATGAAATTCCACCAACTAGCCCTACTGGCCATGTTGACCCGCGCTTAGTCGTCCGCATCTGAAGGGCAGAAACAGAATGTCGATTAACTTTCACAGGCAATGTCCACATCAATGGGGGGAGGAGCCGGGCAGATCTAAAGGCTAACTCCGTTAAGAAGGAAACTGAGATTTCCGTAATTGCGCTATCAAATATTTTGCGATGGGTTATCTTATGAGCATTAATCTACACCTCTCCTTCAAAGTCTAATGCAGAGCACTCGCCGGAAAGTGTTCGACAGCTGAGATCAGTGAGTGGCATAAGTGACACTCAATTTACAATCGAACCTAAGTCTTAGTGTATTCCTAAAATCCTGCAAAACAATTCATGCTTGGTAGAATTGGTAAGAAATATGTTCATAATGGGTCTTTTCGCGCACATTTGTCGACTAAATTTAAAACCCCTGCTTATGTTCTGTCTAGCGGCATTATATGGCACAGGACAAAGACAGTAGACAAACATGAGGGAAAGTGAGCGGGAACGACTCAAAAAGTATCCTAATGGAAATAAAGTCTTCGGTTTATGTAGAATGAGTTATTGATATGATTTTTTGTGGTAGGTCGCTTTCTAATCTCATTCCCCGCAGTTTTTCAAAAGCAAAATCAACCGATAAGATGAGCTGATCTTCGAAATGGCTGTCTTGCATATTACCATCCAGTGGGCAAAATCGATCTTTAGTATCTGAGAAGTAAAACGCTAAAAAGACTATGTAAAAAGAAAATTACTTGCAAACATCTGTTTTAATTAAATTTGAAGGCTTGGTTACTTCCGAAATGCTTTTTTCGGCCTTAACATTTAAGTGTAGCCACTTATTGCGTCTCAAGATAAACACTACAAATGTTTTGACTGCAATTTTCTGGTAGTGATTTGATTCGGTTAGTATCCTTTGCGTCTTCGGTAATAAAGTGCGCAAAGACTGGAGGAGAAGCCTGCATATGGCATATAGTATCAGGAAACGGAGGTCTTCAAAGATTTTGTGTTGCATTGCCTTAATATAAATTATCCCTCGAAACATCCGGCCCTAAATATGTGAAAAATATCTTCCTTAGCAAAAAAATCGACTCCCAGTAGTGGCTAAGTCGAAGTAAAGGCTAAAGCTGCCTCAAAATGTGCTGATTAGGCGTTTAAAAAACAAAAAAGTATACGTATGTAAACAGACGACTCCGTAACAAAATAAGGACAGCATCGAGAGAAGCGTGACCAGCTCTGTCGGCTTCCACAGTTATGCTAGGACTGATTTCTGACGTCCAAACTGTCCCTACGTGGATAGTTCAGGAATAAATTTTCTTAGGACTTTAGATATTTGTTCTAGTTGAAATTCGTGTTCATAGCCATACATTATGAAGTGCTGTGAAAGACTGTATAGTGCTACTATCGACGCCTAGTGGCGTTGGTCTGTGCCTAAAGTTCAAGGTGCAATCAGTGAAAATGCCGGTCAATTCTTTCTGGCCATCCACTGTCCACTCCGACAGGTCGGAATTGCCTGTAAAGACACATATTCCTTCGCCTTTTCCGGAGCGTTCCACCACTTACGCTACATTGCCTTTTAAAGCCAAATCTGGGCGTTGTTGATTACGATCAATGTGTTCGTATTTATGATGATATCTTTACTATCAGAGACAGACTCCATGGCTCCTCCCTGACCATACCTTTATAGCACTCTCACGCATGTGAGATCTGACTCGCCCACCCCTTTGCGTAAAATTCTGTTGCAGTGTGTGGTGGGCGCAGACGGGCTGTCTATCTTTGTTAGCCACTGCATATCTTTGTTAGCCACACACATGATGACCGACCAGTTCAGACAGTGGAATAGTGACCGGAAGAGGGAGGAAGGAATGAGCTCGGCCCTGGGTAATTCACTTAGCGCATATTCATTATTATAAACAAGTTAGCCCACTTTTAAACTGGCACGGCGAACTAAAAGTCCTGGCTTGGAAAGCTGCTAGCTGCCGGGACAACTCGATCCTCCCGCTTCTTATTGCCGCGACATCCACGGCACCCCCACTCAGTCGGAATCCGGGCTGTCCTTTGGCGAAACTCTGATCCTTCAGGCGTGTGCGGCACGCGCAGGAGGGCTGCTTGAATTTGTCAGCCAGTGCATTCGATCCCACCTCCGATTTTATATTCCAAGGCTGAGGTGGGTGAGGGAGGAGTGGTTGCGGTAGATGCAGGCCTAAATTTTTATCATTATGGACTAATCTGTGGGCAAGGTGCCGTCTCTAGGCCTACTTTGCTGTGACGCACACAGTGAACATCATCGGAGACGACGGTCAAACTGTCGTTGTTGTCGTACGGTCTGGCGCTGAGCACATACAGTCAAGAAACGATGCCAGCCAAAAATGCCGGCTTTGCACCCTGGTCACTCTGATTCATCTAGAGGTGGATTTGCTTCTCCTCTTTATGGGAAAGTGCAAACTTCATTGCAGACGCATGTGAAGAAGCAGATGCGGGTACTTCAATTTGAGGCCTTCATGGAGCTGAGAAATAACTTGGCGTTTGTTGGCGTGTATACGACCTCTATGTGTAAAAGAGCAGAGAGGTGTTCATATGCCTGTACGGGTTAGTTTGATTAGTGATACTAAGTTTCTCATACTCCATAGCACAGGCAGAATTCCATCTCGTAAGATTTCGAAATGATAGTGTGAAATGCCAACTTTTTAAATACTCACACGTGGTTTAGAAAATATCCTATCCTGCAGTTTATTCTTCAAGTTATTATCGGCGTAAAAATGTGGTGACCACTTCCCCATTAGTAAATAATTGGATATAATTAAACCACTACATTCCAAAAAATGGTAAAAAATAATGCCGACATTTGACGAGAAACCAAACATACTTCTGCGAACTGAACTCTCAGATAAATCAATTTTCATAACTTCTCGCTCAGAAACACTACAAAACAAAGTCTCGATAACCAGGCAGCTGGCAAGCAAAGTCGGCCTTTTGGCTTTATGTCTACTTGACTGTTAAGGGATTCGCTGATAAAAGCTCCGTCTGCGCTGACACTGACACTCAGTCCATTAAGTATGGTTGGTAGAATGTTTGGTACTGCAGACGTCCTTTAAAACTTTAAGCCTCCCTGTTGGTCAACATTTGACGCTATGACGACAGGCCTCAGCCAATCTTATTTGCGGCTGTGTCATCAATGAAAAGCTTCCTGCCATCGTTCAAGCACATAGATTGAAGCAAATTTTGATCGCCAGTCCAAGTGCAACTAGGCTTAGGAATACGTAAGAATGAGCTTAAGTATTAATGATGAGTGGTGAGATCAAGTGCTAACGCAATTGCCAAAACAATCGCATAGTGGATTCCGTAGGTAAACGAAATATGTCCAAGGGTCCATACGCAGATATGTAGGTCTGGAGCGTAAACCTCATGCGTCAGGGATCATTAACTCGTCTGATCTAATGGTGTTGTCCCTTGATTCGCGTCAACAAAATCGGATTGAATTAAAAATAGCACGTGAAAAATCTAAAACTGTAGGTGGGACAATAGTCTTCTATAACGAACTAGACAAAGGGAACGGGCATACAGGCTGGTGCTCTTACATTTCTCAAAAAAGACGAAACGATAAAACAAGGAGGTGCATATGCATTTTGATATACGCAGCATTATAAATGGCACAATCTGTCGCGTAAGCTCGCCTGAATGTACCAGTACAGACACTTAACCGTGTTCTTAATGATTCATTTGACATGTGTACACTCTCTAAAAGAACGTTTACTCAGAAAATAAGTCGACGGTTTCGCCTTACCTAACTAAAGTAGATTCATATTAATGTCATTTATCACAAACTCATGCAAAGCTTCGGAGTAAGACTTGAATGAGTCATCAAGAAAAGTCAAACACCTACGTAACGCTTTCTTCACGAATTAAACGGATTCAAACTTTGACGTACCTCTTTAAAAATTCTTGGATCGTACGTGTTGTCATCGTCAGCGAAGTAGACAACGCCAGAATCCCTACCAGGTTTTTTATTTTTTCTTAACCAGTCTAGACCCATGTTGCGCTGGTTGCTGCCCCTAATGATGGCAGTAATAAACCTTGGGGAAGGAACCGCTAAATGCGTGTACGGCACACTGGTTTCTTCAAGAAACCGCGTTACAAGTCTAAATATAAAAGAGTACAAAAAACCACTTATTCACATACAAAAACATAGCATGACAACAAACAAGAACGGCCACGTTGTAATGGGAATTTGGGCTTAATATTCGAATTATCGTCGCACGTGCGTTATTTACATAGAAAAGGAATTCACTTAACGGAAGGTTAAAGGAACGTAGAAATAAGAGCTAAGAAAACTTCTGACCTGCAACACATGTCTTTCGTGGCGTTTTGCCAAAAGGAATAAAATTAATCCCCCAAAATCGTGACTGCAAATTTGTGCCTATTGTTATATTGATCATTCGTATTTGTCTCGTATGTAACCTATTTCAAAGAAAACAGATCAAATAAAACGCCAGGTTTCTGAAATGTAGACTAAAAAGGATCCTGAAGACATAAAATTAAATATAGCTTGCAGATGCCACAAGGTTACCTGACGTGCGTTATTATGTAAGTAAACTAGCTTATTTAGCAAACATTTTCTCAAATTCTGTCATTAAAGGGTTTGGACATGTACAAAAACCAAAAAGGCTTATAAATTGTCGGCGCAAACAGTCGTCCTTGGCCACTCTAAAGTTCCTCTTAAAGCTATCAGTCGGTTCAGAGAACATGATGTCCCGAGAAAGTAGTTGCTTCAAGTATCGTTAAATTATTTCAAACACATGCTGGCTTGGTATTTCATTGAATATCTGGAATATATCTTATGTTTGAATGCATCGAGTGGCACTGGTGATGCCTTTTGAGTCCATTCTCCTGTACTCACAACAACGGTGAAAAGGAAGCTTTGCCACTTTCATGCTAATAGAGGAAAATGAATTCATTGCATAGGCATGGCATCTTAACCAACTCACGTAGTTACTTAACAATGCTTTGTATGATCCATTTATTCTTTATAGAGCATACATTAAAGTTGCACGGACCTATGACAATACAGGTAAATTTTAAGGTAAAACTTCACTGATTTATCCTGAGCGTATAATCAGGTACTTCTGGTAAGAATTTAAAAAATATAATTAGAATTGTAATTAGGCGCAGGATTAGCGGTGCCGTAAAAACTGCTACCAGTAAGGTTATCCGGTAAGTCATGCAAAACTGGACTTGCTGTCTAAATATAACTATGTACCTAACACATCCTGATTAGTGATTGCCTATCAGTACGTAACCGCCTGCCACTGCTTTCGACTTGAAGAATGAAAGACATGAAGGGTGCCAGTGTACTGTTTTTAATCAGAAGAAAATTAGGAATGCCACAGGCACATGAATAACAGATTTATAATGACAATCGGTGGAGCTCGAATCCTCGGTTCAGTGATAAAGTTATTTTTTTAACAGATCATTTACATAATGGCCGATCGAGCTATGATCAAAAGTTTCGCTTTTTCAGACCCGATACTGATTTTTCCCTGGCAAATGAGTGCCAGTAGGCCAGGTGTGACTATTAAAATCTGCCTTGCATTTCATGCATTAGGTCTTGATTATTAATTGCATTTGAGTAGGTGCGTTTACTGTGAGGACGCCAAATAGAGTGAATCCAAATAGTCAAATTATCATTATGGATTGGGGAAATAAATCTCATGTGACTTTTACCTAGACATTTCGACGATAATTTTAGAATAAAACGCAAACAATTATTTAGTTTCTTAAGTGTTATTAGGACACCGAGGGAGAACTTATAATAAGATGAAGGTATTAGCAAGAGTAAGCAAATGTGACTGACAACCACATTCGGCAAGATTTGCTGCTAAAATATAGGCAGAACGAAATTCTCGAGGCAACTTGCAGGATTAGTAACCTAGGTTGCCATCGAGCTCGCCGGTACAAAGGTTTGTTTATGTTGTGTAAATGATAATAAAAATAAAAAAGAACCAATCTCCAAATATCGGTTAACCTGATACGAGTATGCAAAGTTAAAAGATGGAACATATATCTACTCAACAATACAATTATGTCAGAAGAGCGTTTAGTGAATATAAGTTTGCCAAGCTATGTGGATTAATCCACATTGTTTGGGATAATTATTACAACTGTCTTGCCCTTAATTAATAGATTTCGACTGAACCGTCCCAAGGCAATTTAAGTGCAAGTCTGAGACGAGTTTCAGACCATCATGCTTATACTTGCAAATAAACATGTTCATTTGAAACGAAACAGGAATTAATCTGTGTTTTTATAACCCCACAACGGTATGGCAAATATCAGCCCACGTCTGGCGGGCAGCATAAGTAAACCAATCATTTATTTACATATTCCAACAAAGCAGCTAAAATGCTCATTTTCTAAGTGTTTTGCGTTAGTCCGGGGTTTAAATATCGTACGATATTTAGAATGTTCTATATATATATATATATATATAAATTAGAAACGCAAAACTATCGAAAAGCAATTTTAAAAAATCAATCTCACATACCAGACCAACTTACGGGGTTTTTTCTGCTGAATCCTCAACAATTATCCAGTGAATGAAGTCCAGATTTGACAGAGTTGACCGCAAACTTACAAGGTCAGCTTTCTGCGTTAGTCGCGAATAAGTTGGAGTAATAACATAAACTATTTGGTTTTGAAGGACTTCCGGGGGCTCATCAAATTGTTTCAAGTAATCGGGGTCATTTGGGCCATCTTCAAATGCCGGAATCTGCAAGAATGTGTGAACAGCCTCATACACGGTCCAAACAACGAGCAGCAAAACAAAGCAAACACACAACCTTGACAGTCTTCTGTTCATATCGTGAATGCAATCGGTACGACTAAACAAAAACAATATTTTATGCGAAGTATCACAAGAGAAAAGAGGAATTAACCAAAATATTTTGACCTCTTATGCTCCCACAGTTGCAACTCATTGACAAACACTACTTGTCACTATGAAAAGTGCTTCCGAAAATTTAAAGAAATTTGTTTTTCGGTTATTAACGTATAACGGATCCGTTCGTAATAATATGATCACCATTCCTACAGTATTCCACTTTTGTGTTAGATACATTAGATAGCGACTTAGTCTCTAGCTAAATATCGGTTTGCAATCAGTTGCGAGGACTCTCATATTCTGAGTCACTGGGCAAGTTGAGTATTTCGATACTTACAAAACACCAAAAACAAAGTAGGAAGCATGATTATAAGGGCGCGCCGAGAATTAGAGAAAAATTTGCTGTGAAAAGCAACACAGAACCCAAAATACTCTGTAGCAACCTCAGAAGAAGTAAAAGGAGCAAACACCAAATCCCCTTAATAAGGACTACGAGTGGCTTTAAGATTGCTGATAGAAAGGATGACGCTGCGTATTTTTTTACGGCTTTTCCTATCAGTCTACACAAACAAGACAAGGCTCTTTCTCCCTCCACGTATCGCATCCGCAGAGATTTAGGAGCACTGGACAAATCAAAGTCGCCTGGAAGCTGATGCATATGTTTCCAACAAACAAAGAAGAGTGCAGGGCCTCGAAGACTAATTAGAAACCTCTATGTATGTCATAAATTTTCAGCAAAGTTATGGAGAGGATCATGAAGCGAGAGCTGGTGCAATTCCTGGAAGTCGATGACTTGCTATCGAACTGCCGACACGAGGGCAGGGAAGGAAGATCCTGTACGACAAACTAGCTGCAATCTCTCCAGATCTAAGCCTGAGATCTCGACGAAAGGCGCGCGGTCCACATAAGTTTAATTGACCTGCAGAAGGCGTTCGACACTGTGCCAGTCGAGAGACTGTTATACAAACTGGCAAAAATAGGGATCAGGGGTGACTTCTTTAAATGGATCGAAAACTTCCTTGTGGGTTCACAGCAGGTTGTGTGCATCGATCAAGCAAAATCGGATCCTGCTGTGGTCGAGAATGCTGTTCCCCAGGGCTCACTACTGAAACCCATTTTGCTCCGTATATCCGTGAACGATTGTGCAAGAGCTATGGACTGCGAAGTAGCAATGTTTGCAGACGACATAAACATATGGATTGTAATTCGTTGTCCTGCCGACGAAGACAGACTGCAGGTGAACCTAAGTCGATTGCATGAGTGGTCAAACAGTTTGCCGATGAGATCCAAAGTTAGTAAGAGTAGCATACCTCGCCTAGGCAATACGGCCCGATCTTCCTACTTTCTGGACAGTGCAGCCTTACGAGACGTGGAAGCCAAAAACGACTTTGGTGTGCTGACAATGAACTCCCTTTATCCATCCGCTCATTGTTCTGGATTGGCAAACAGCGCAATATCCGTATTGTATGCCATCAGGCGTGCGTTTATGGACTTTGTCGAAGACGTCTTCCCAATGACTTTCAGAACATTCGTGCGGCCTCACTTTGAATAGGATATGCGAGCCTGGAGACCGTGGGCAGTTGAAGATCAAAATAACCTCAAAAGTGTTCAGAGGAGAGCCACGAAAATGGTTAGGGGTCGAAGCCCCTTTCCGTATTGAACCCGCCTAGTAAATCTTAAACTCTTCCCTTTGAGTTAAAGGCAATTTCGCGGGACCCCTTACGAGCATTTGGCATAGTGAAGGGGGTAGACTGCAGCCTGACCTTTGAGGACATTATATATTCGTTACCACGATTAACCCCTTAGATCACCCGTTACAACTGCGCACTCAGCAGGCAAGGCTGGATGTGCGGAAGTTCTTCTTCTCTGCTCGAATTGTGAGGCCATGGAATGCCCTTCCTGCAGATGTTCTAATTTCACCATCGATGCAAAGTTTCAAAAAGAACCTTGACATATTTATGTTCCGAAATGACCAAGATCGATAAAAGATCGAGCTCATATCCGAAGACTCACTACCATTTTGTCGTATAATTATATGCTCGTTCGAAATATTTCAGCCCGGATAATTCCCCTTTGCACTCCCCTGAGTTTTACGTTGTAAATAGGGTGCTCAAAAGCTTATGCTTATTTCCTTCAATTAACTGAACTGAATTGAACTCTCGCAAATACGAAACCTTAAGCCCTCCAAAAAGTCGCGCGAAATCCCCGTTGGCCGTCCCAGGACGATTATTTGAAATGGACGGGTCGGTATGTCCCCTAACCGTATAATTTGTTTTCTTCGAATGCTTTCTCCGTTTTCAATCATTCGGATATTTTTTCTGAAACCCTTTTGCTCAGACATTCGCGCCATGTAGCGAATATGTTATTTAGAACCTGCGAATGCATATATGCAGCTTTAAAGCTGTAGTAGAATTCTATTGCTGAGGGGCCATGTGTTGGAAGGGAATTTAAAACTGCCTGTCCCCCTTCTTTCATGGTTAATTTTCGTGCCAGCTTTTCAGTGTGTGCCAGACAGTTAATATTGTTACTACTATGCCGCCCTTTTGCCGGTATTATCGCATTTATTTAGTTCGAACTAACTGTCGGCGTTCTGTTCAGATCTAAACCGAACTCTCTTATAGAGTCAAATAAGCCAGACGAGCAAAGAATGCTGATCAATCTCGAGATTGAAAAATGCAGCAAAAGTGCAATAACTCCTGTACGAAGGAGAAATGGAGGGCGGGGCAAGGTGGGCTGAATTTTAACTGAATATAGGTATACTTAATAAGCACACGCTTTTTACACATGTAAAAGCAACAAATAACT